TTGAAAACCCTTAAGATATGTTTTCATCTGATTCATCAGAGACATGATTGCTTTATATGATGAACAGGTTTAATTTAGGCTTTTATTCAAATATAAACATTATTCTGTGAACATAAGCAGATTAACCTCAACCATACTTGTTTGACGTGCAAGAACAAACCTCATTGGATCTTGCAGGAGTTTTAACACCTTTGTAACACGTTTTAACATGCTTGTGTGAATGAATTTCATTGGTTCTCGGGTGTCAAACAAGCATGCTTGTTTATCCATGACCGAATTTGAACACTGTAAACATTGTTAGCTGGTCTATGTTTATATGTGAATAAAGGTGTAAATAAATCTGTTCATTATATAAAGCTATCATTGGATTAATCCATGCAATTCATATGCATTTTTATTTTTTGATCTCTTTACGAACATGTTGAAGTGTCCGAGTTTTGGGTGAACAGACTTTCAGTGGAGAGACAAAAATCTCTCAGATTCTGAAGATGAAAACATTTCTTATGGTTTTGGAATGACATGAGGGTGATTAAACGATAACAGAATTTTTGTTTTGGGGTAAACTATCCCTTTAATGCTAAAATTGTAGCGCTCAGCTGCAAAGCTCTTATATTATTCGCTTCTATCCCACACCCAAATATATATATGAGTGTTGTAATTGTTTGGCAAATGCATGCCGCTCTCACCCAACATCGCCAACCCTGGCTACCTCACTCCCCTGTGGATAACAAATGGGCCTTTTCTCTCTGAATTTGAGGCTAAACGATGGTTTCGCTTAGAGAGCAAAGTGACTGTCCGTCTTCATAACAGTGCTCTCCATCAAAGAGCAATGAATCCCATCCCATCCGACTGGCCCTGATTAAACACAGGCAATGGATATCCCCCTCCGACCCCCACCCTTTCTTTGCCAAGACCGAGCAAAGCCAGCCCTGCTATGTCAGCCCTAGCACCTGCAGATATCAGCTTCTTTTTCTCTGGTAATAAAACACTCCTCACTTCTGGAGCGGCGAGATGCTTGTTGCTGCTGCCGCTGCTTGCACACACTTTCATTTGAATCAAATTACCAAATGAGTTGTATATTGAGGAGGTTGTACAGAAGGGCTAGCAGGTCATGAAGAGCAATAGCTATGGGCTCTTAGCTCATTTTTTTCATTTATGAGCTTTTTATTATCTCTTATTTAAATTAACATATCAGTCTGAAAAGCTAAACATATTTAGAGGTTTGATGGGAATCACATTTACTAGCAGTCAAAAGTTTTTTTAATCTTTAGAAAAAAAACATTTTAGGATTGTACTAAAGTCATCAAAACTATGAAATAAGAAAGAAATCTAAACATATCCACCTTTTTCCTCACAGATTACAGATTTATTCCTGTGATGGTAAAAGTGAATTTTCAGTAGCCATTACTTTAGCCTTCAGTGTCATGCAATCCTTCAGAAATAATTCTAATATGTTGATGCGGTGCTCAAGAGATTGTGATAGGTTCTTTTTAAGGATTCTTAGATAAACAGAAATTTCAAAAGAACAACATTTATTTGAAATAGAACCTCTTTCAAAAAAATTTATATATATATATATATATATATATATATATATATATATATATATATATATATATATCCCAATTTTTTTATGTTAGTTATACAATTTTTGTTATATAAATGCATTCATTTGAAGCCACAAACTATATTTGTCTACAAAACGAATTCCTCCAAACCAAAAGATCTTTTACGATCTGGAGAAAGATCAATTCAAGCGTACAAACCTTGTGAAAAAGAGGAGTTTAAAAAAAAAAGAACAGATTATATGAACCGTTTGAGTGATAAGTTTGAGCCAGTTCACTGACTTTTATGACTTGTCGCCTGCTGTTCACATGTTGATGTGTTTTCATGTTATGGTCTTGCTCCATGAAAACTTCTCATTTTCTTACGGCCAATGTCCAGAATGGCTGTCGGGGCTGTATTTAAGTTGTCACAGGCGTACAATGACAAAGTAATGGTGTGTTAAATATATGCTCAAAGGCTTTTGCAAAAGTTGAATTAATGTATAACTGAGAACCACACATACCGCAAAGTTCCTGTATTAATTCAATGGCCTATATATTTTATTAATGCTTATATTACTTTAGACACATTTCACAATGTTATAAAATAGTATACACATACTAACTTAAAACACTGCCTTTGGTATTCAAGTGTAACACCCTCATTCACAACAGAACAATGCTCCCATGTGTTGGCACAAGACAAAGAGTTTTCTGGAAAGTTAGCAAAGCAAGACAGACACTACAATCTTGATAGGCTTGTCTTGTTTTAGTGTTGGGGTTCCATCAATTTCAAGGGGGTAAAATCTTACACCACTGAGGCTACAGGCACAAAGCATTGCAGAGCTATAGCAGGATGGGAGCTTGAAGCTCTTAGGAACATTAGCCTGAAAGAAAACAAACGTGGGTCAACTGAATTAACCCAAATCCACACTGCCAACCAAGGAAAACTCCCAACAAAGAGCCTGTCATCTCTTACTGACAAGAATCAATCTGTACACGCTGACCTGAAGTGTCCTGCAGACTACAGGAAATTCCCTTACATACAAAATACTGAGCTGGAGATATAAAGTAGCATAGCAAAATAAAGTGCTAGTTATTCAAGACTTAAATCAGTAAATGCCTCTTTTAAAGGAGTTTTCTTGTATTTTCAGCACTGTAAAAATGTACCTTTCACTTATTAGAGTATCATGAGCAAGTGCACTTTGCCAACATTTAGTTTTAAATATACAGTAGATGACGTTTCTAACTTATTTAAAAACAGACATTACAAAAGTTATTCGGTCATTATCAGTTAAAATTGTAATTTAAAATAGTAAAATTGTAACTATCATCACACTATCACGCATTGCATAATTTTGCCATCTCTAAATGTTGCAATTTAACCAAACATGCCTGTGTTTATGCACTTTTATAACGGTATTTAAACCAAACAGTGCAACTCGAGGTTGTGTTTCTCTCTCAGTGTGCTACACATAGTATTACAGTATCGCCAGGACATTAGCTAATGTCATTATCTCTTCTGTGAGGTCAAAAGGGCCTACTCTTGTGTTATAGGATTTATAAAAGACAGAAGTGATCTTACTTAGGGTCTTGGATAGCAGGCATCAATCCCCAGTTATTGCAGATGGCATCAGTATGCTTTATCGTTAAAGCTGACTGTGTTTTGTCACAGGTAAAGACTAACATAGAATATATACTGTATATATACATAGACTACATAGAATATATGTAAGTATTTATATATATATATTTATTTGTTACAATTGCAAAAAGCACATTGCATGCATCTGGCAGGATGAGTTTCTGTAAACAGGTGCAAAGCAATAGAATCCATCTGCTTTTCTCTGTACAACAAACTCATCAAGTGCATACATTAAGCTACAATTATCTATAGCGAGTAGAAAATGAACGATCAATCACTTGAACTTGATTTAGCATGTTGAAAATGTGCAAAAGCTTGCATATAATCTGTTAGTCCCACTACGTCTAGTCTTCTATTTGTCCACACACTGAGTTGCTTGGCAAACAGGTGTCCGTTGTGAATGACTCTCCACCTCCCATTATGAAGAGCTACCTTTACTAACAGCCCTGTATTAAAGTGTCATTATCTCCTCCACCCCTCTGTCTTGTGTGCCATGCACAAATGGACTCCAGTCTTTTATAATTCCTTTTTTTCCCCTCTGCTGGGTATAAATGTCAACGTCCTATTGTGTGAATTACAGGCATTCCCACATCAGCGCTGATTGTTCCATGTGTAGTGGTGGGAGCAGAATAGAGCATTTGATTTCAGATAATGTAGAACCAGACAAAATGCCACTGGACTTGGCAGGGCCCCTATTGTCTAAGCTGGCAGGCTGAGCCAAAGACCTGAATCTGAGACAAGACTGCGCTGGGGACCGCAGAAAAAGAACGCCTCGGTGGTATGGATTTCACTGACTGTTATAATACAATTTGTCAGGTTTTATGATGTCACTGACAGCTGGTATTCATCCCCTTAACCTTTTCAGGTTGTGTGCTTTATGCCATGCAAAGCCGTAATTTGTCACCATAAGCAGAACATAATTTACTTCGTCAAACTCCCTTTATGGTAAAATGTGAAATATTCACGATCTAGTCATTATGTTAAGATGCACATAAACAGAAATTGTTGTCTCACCCGTGACACATAGCTCCGCTCCTAAGTAGTGACATCATGCAAGTGCATTTCTATTGGGTGACATGATGTAAACTGTCAAAACTTTTATTTTTATTTATCCTTTTCTGTTTTGCTTTTTTTCTCTTCGTCTTTCTAGATTTCATTCATTTGAAAAGTAGGCTAGTGCATTTTAATTTATTTTAATATATTTATTTTGGGTCATATGTACTGCATGCAGTACATTTTCAACTTCCCATCACGTGTGTTTTAATATACTGGATGACATATTAGATTATTATATTCTCTAACTTTCAGTACTAGTTTGTAGTAATGTCTAAAAGCAAAGACTGGCAGTTTATTCACAAGTATTCTAGCTAGATTTATTTAATTTTTTTTGCATTATTTGACCTTTTTAAATTAAAACAAAAACATGTTTCCTTGGAATATAGTTTTGAAAGGTAATACACTCTTAAAAATAAAGGTGCTTCAACAGGTTCTTCAAGTGATGCCATAGAAGAACCATTTTTGGTTCCACAAAGAACCATTCAGTCAAAGGTTCTTTAAAGAACCATCTCTTTCTTGCGTTTTTGTAATCTGAAGAACCTTCTTTCGCCACAAAGAACCTTTTGGGAAACAGAAAGGTTCTTCAGATGTTAAAGGTTCTTTATGGAACCATTTAGACAAAAAGGTTCTTCTATGGCATCGTGAAGCACCTTTATTGTACATAGTGTACATTTATGTGTTTTGACCCATGTCTCCACTATTTTCCATCCATTCTTTTATAATATCCCTTTAACAAAATCCAGCTCTTTACTGACATCATGTTCCAGGAAGTGACATCATTTTGGAGGGAGAGCAACAATACAAACACCAGTGAGTATTATCAATGCATCTAATAAGTTTTGTGTAAATAGCTAATGTGTTTTAGTCTGAAACAATACAACCTGATCAATAGAATTACTCAAATTAGAGAGAATTGCATCCATATTTTGTCTTTTTCCACATTGATTTTGTGTAAATAATCAAAAGTTTTATTTTATTAATAAAATGTGTCTAAGCTTGATTAGAGCATATTTCTGAAATTATGCTTATTTTTTTCTTAAATCAAAACAAACATATTCATTAAAAGTGCTTAATGCATTTGTAAAAGCTGCAGCATTCAAAAGCATGTGCATTTTTGTTTATTATAATAGATTTTATTGCAAGGCACATCCAACCATAACAATAGCTTCTGAATGCCATGAGCTCTGCGCCAGCGGTCTGCATACTTCGGAATACCAACAGCAACAGTGACCTGATGATGACGGGTAACAAAGGTAACAACAGTTCATACAGTTCACTGTAAGGTCACACTCCTCCTTTCCCTTTTCTTTTCAAGCTCTAGATGTAGTTCCCACAAGCCTAGCACCAAATATGTTTCATAACGTGTGTTTTCATGCATCTGGCCCAATAAGTTGTTGGATAATTCATATATTGATTGGTTATGTCATCATGTGTTGGTATAGAAGCTGTCATGTGGATGACAGAACAATCCACGGGCCCCATTGTTCATTCATCAGCGCCCCTGATCGGGCCCATGTCTTGGTTAGCTGCAGGCCAGCCAGATAAGGATCAGTAGATGATTGGGCGCACACATTCTTAACATGGCTGACCCGTGACATCTTGGGGGCAGTCGGGGAGTCTGTCATTATGCATACAATGCACGGCTTTCTTCCTTCTTATCTTTGCCGATGACATTGAGAGTTTTCGCATTAACTCATTAACGACAAGACTCATCATTACAGGGGAGGGGGAGGGACAGGGTGTGTCTCTGAGTGGGTGACACTAAGCATGGAGGAATGTGGGATCAGGCCAATCCCTCTTTTCACTCTCTCCCGGGCTTTGATATGAGTGTTAGTGATTAAGAGATGGGCCAGTCAAGTCCAAGGCTTAGAAAGGCTACAAGTGACCTTTTTTTGCAGTGCATAAGCCAACGCTGAATAAATGAAACTTAAACACGGACTCACAGTTGCTAACTACCACCGCTTGCCCTATCTGGAGAAAATGTTAGTCTGTATGACATGTAAGTTCAGAGAATGATCTCTTAAGCTCCAGAGGTTCTTCACTCGAGGGCGTTTTGCTGCCAGGAGCTTATGAAGGCCAGAGTGGTTGGCCTTTGCTCATAGCTAACAGTGCCAAGGCCTTGACTCTTGTGGTTTGCCTCTGTCAAACACGGCATTGCTGAGTGTGGCTCTGTGGAAAAACTCAGCTATGCCATCCTGTTTCTTGATCCATTAATGCTTTCAACACAGTTATATAGTGGGGAAGAAGAAAAAAACGAGGATGGGGGAGACGAAAAACTGTCTGGGAAAGATTGATAGCTTTGCTCTGTGGTTCAATTGTAAATTAGAATGCAAGTCCCTCTGGGATACAAGGGCTCTATTTGTGATTAAGAAAAAAGGCTTCATAACTGAGAGATAGAGAAAAAGTTTGCTCCCTCTTACACACAGGCAATTAGCTTGATGAAATGTCCCTCACTGTTTTGTGCCCTGGATATGTAAACTGATATTATAATAATGGGCTGACTGCTTGTTCTGTTATTTTCACCTTGAGTCGAACAGGAGGAGGCGTTATGGTGTACACAAAGCATTGTCTTGTATAACACCACAAACCCAGACCCCTGGCGAGCTCAGAACCGCAGATACGATGCAAAACGAGGTGACGCGAGAAACAAAGCAGGCTCTCATATGTGATGAAGGTACAGGAGTGGGCTTAGCAAGCTCGTTGCCAGCATGACAAAGTGATAAAGAACTTTTATATGCCTCATAGAAATAATGGTAAAGTGAGCTTGGAGTCTTGGCACTGTACCTGCCCACAGCAGGAGTCTCACCTACCTAAATTTCTTCTGCTTTCTCATGCAAGGAAGGGAGACATTAAAAGTTATGATCTGTTTTTATATGGCAACATGATTTTTTTTTTTATCAGGTATTGTTTTTTGTTGTTGTTTTTTTTCATGCCTCTTCACACCTGTCTCCACTTGTTTGCATTTGGAGCAATCCAAAGTGTTCAAGAGCCTTATTTGGTTTGACTTTGGCCTAAATAATGAACTGCCGTCTGTAACTTATGCTTGTTTCACTAAGCCTTCGCCTCAAATGTGCTGACATTTGCAAAATAGGACTACAGTTTATCAAAAGCAGCATTTAGGCTCAAATGCAGTTAAGCGCAGACTAAATTTATAACAATTTCATGTCCGAGTTGTGATCCTTTGGTAACTCAATGATATAGTTTTACTAAAAAATTTAAATAATTAATAAAAATAATAATAATAAACACTGGCAATTTCATTGCTAAATGTAATATACTTTAAATAATATATTTTACTTTTTATAAATAATAATGTATTAAAATAATAATAATAATATATTTTCAAAAATAATCATATAAAAATAATACATTTTTACATTTTAAATAGCTATTTTTAGAGGTTACATAAATGCAATTCAATAAATGGTTTTAACAATGTAGGCTACTGTACATTAGAAAACAATACTAATACTAATAAAGCAAAAAGGTGGGGTAACATATTTGATTAATCAATATTTATCAATTACTACAGACAAAATACATAATGTGCTGTATACTTTAATTTACTTAAATGAACTGTCTTCATTAAAGTTATTCGTTCAGGAATAAGACTTTGCGCTGTATGCTTTGATTCACTAAAAAAAGTAATCTCATAAAAGTATTTTCTTTAGTTAACGGACTACACTAGCTGCGTTGTAAGGTTTTGATTCACTAAAAAGAGCCATCTCGTAAGAGTCATTCATTCGGGAATCAGACTAGTTGTATGCTATTGATTCGCTAAAAAGAGCTGTCTCATAGGAGTCATTGTTTCTGGAATCAGACAACACAGTTTGTGCTGTCTGTTTTGTGCTGTATATTCTATTTTGGTTTGTTTTTTGTTTTTTTTTAATCGACAATTGATAAACGCCCCCATCGGCAGAAGAATACACTTGCATAAACTGTTAACTTTAACCATTAACAATTCTGTTATGGTATTTCATTTAAATGGAACCCATCCTCAATCTAACTACGAAAACACTTCTTGGTCTAATTGTGTTACTTCATTAATAGTTATAATGTAGCCACCTCACTTTTCGCTGAACCCTCCAGGCCCCTATAAACAGAGGAAAGATGAGAAATGATCGTCAGTGGAAGCTTTAGCTTCTGCATCTCAAATCGATTCCACAGGCATAAGGAAGGGGCAGTACAGCGCACAATTGTTTTGAAGAGACGTGCAGTGAAGCGGAATTCTGTGGCAATGTGAGTGTAACATAAGTGCATTGCTAACACATGGCTGTATTCCTGGAGATGTCAGAGGGGATCTGCTTTCATGAAAGGGAGTGAGAGGGGGATCTAATGTGGAAGTAATTACATGTGAGAGAGTCACTGTGATGGAATGCAATGCAATGTTTTCCATTTGCAGGTCAATGCCCAAGTTACATAGTGTTGTAGATATGCTAGCACCAGCCTCTTGTTTTATCACATTTTGTGTGAGTCTGCACATTTATTCAATGAGAGGGGAAAATAGGCCGTATTCTAATAATTATTTTTGTTTTTTGATATACAAGTGTGAGTCTTCCTGCATCATATTAAAATATAACGGCATTTGAATGTTAGCCATGCATGCAATAGCAAAACTAGCTTGTATTTAACTTGTACACTTCACAAGTAGATTATATTAGTTGCTGACACCTGAGTTCAGTATTAGAGGAAGCTGACATAGTACAAACAGACCTTATTCATGTAAAATGCAAACACACCCAGCTAATAAGGTCATTTCACTGTTTACCTTTGGAGAGATTGCTGACTTCCCAGGTGTTCATTATGCAGAGTACAATTTCATTAGTATCAACCCTACCTGTAATTCAAGTCAGGGCTTATTTGTAGTTAGGGGGGTTGGCAAGTTCAGGAATTGTCTGTCACGGTTATATAGGAATGGTATGAATCTGAGCACTTCGGTAGCATGACGCTTGACATGGGAAAGAGAAAAAAAACAAGAAAAAAAGGGAGAGAAACCTGGTTTTCAAACATGGCGTAACAGCCGCACCCATGTCAGCAGTGTTTCCTCTGCTTATGTTTCATTCATAAAGAAAAGTCTAGACTGACCTGGGCCAAGCGGACACCCTATACTCATTTATCCAATGCTCTCAAAAAAGAATGAAACAGGAAAAGCTTCAGACATAAATTGCGTAAGGGATTATAATTTTTTGTGTCTGTACCATTTACACAAAAGGTATGTAATCTGGCCCTCTTCATGCGTCCCCTGGTGTCCACAGATCCAGATAGGAGCGTCAGGCATGCTGAGGGAGAGATTAGCCGGTGCATGACCTGATGTGTTAGGACTTCCAAGAGCAGTAATGAGTGCCGCCGATCAGTGAGTGTTTTGGGTCAGACTGCAGTGTCTAAACTGATCATTCCAGTCTAATGAGCTTTGGTGACTTTGTTGTAATGGTCCAGCTGATTCAGTGCGGTAGCTGCACCGCGCAGATTAAGGTCACGTCGTATTTTGGGATGTTGCTAGACAGTGCAATAGGTCCTTTTATGAGGCATCTGCTTAGCTTGGACCTTGTTTGTGGGGTTAGATCTGTTGGAGTCTTTGATGTGACAGCTCTGTGGCCGTTTACTGGTGTTCAAGAGGAGATTAAATTCCCTCAAACTCACTTAATATTCCTGCAGTCGTGTGGTCTTCTCGTGGCTCTGGGTTTACATAGAACATTCTAAATAGGGAGATTAGCTCTTTTGGCCAGTGCAATCTTTGTTGACTGTCTCGTAACATTAAACTATTCCTTTAAGATTCAAGAATCATTGGGTATATGGGTATACGCAGTATGTAACTTGTTTATTTGTATATATTTTATAATTTTTTCTCAATTTTTGGAAAATGCTATGTTGTATAGTACATACTGCACAGCAGGGCTGCACAAATAATCAAAATTAAGCCAAAAAATGTGATATTCCTTAGTGCACTTATCAAATCACAAAGGCTGCCATTTAATTAAATAAATATATGCGCTGAATGTTTTAGTGTGTTTTTCACACATGAGCAGCTCATTATCTGCCATTGTTTGCAGCATCTCAGAGCGACCAGATTGCAGTAAATGCTGTGCCACATGCTAAAATAAAAGTTAGGCCTAGATGGTTCAATGTTTGAAAATTAAGACTATTATTAACTAGTATGCAAGTATTGTAATTTTACATTTGACATTACAATAATTATTATTATTATTATTATTTTATTTACTCATTTTTTATTTTACAGTGAAATATTCCAGTACAGTAATATTGTAATATTATATTTTGTTTTTAAGTCATTTCTGTATTTCCATGTAATAATTATAATTATTATTACATCATAGCCATATTGACTTTGTAATCACACAGTTTTTGTCAAATTTTGCAGCCCAACAAACAAGCACAATAAACCTAGGAAATTTTTATATATATTTTTTTTCAATCACAATTTTTATCAGAAAGAAAATGCTATTAAATTTTGTCCCCAAATCATGCTGCTGTACTGTACAATATATTTGTATGAAATCAAATGCACCCCTAAATTCTGTCTGGCCTTTTGTTAAAGTAGTATCCAAAAAATGTTTTATATGCTGTAGTCCCATTGTATATTGAGGCATTTAGAAGACATAGGAATCCCATGGAACCATAAAAGTTGCTCTTGGTATAGGAAGTCCACGCTGCAAGGCCCTTTGAGGTGAACCACAGATTTAATTTTCTGAAACCAAAGCAAAATATATCACATTATGTGCTACATCATTCAACTGTTGCCTGGAGAGCTATCATTTATCCTTGTAAAGATTTACCACTCACTATCGCTGTCTGTGGACTGACATAGTGCATTGCATCATGTGGAAATCATGCTTGATTTTCCTGTGCATTTATAAATAAAATGCTACAGGCATAACTCTTGTGAAACTTTGGCTTACATTACGACTGGATAAATGTTATAATGCTTTCTGTCAAGCACTTTAGCGGAACAAAAGCAGGGTGCTTAGTTTGTTTTCAAGCTGTGAAAAACAGGTTTCTTTTTCGTGTAGTATTTGAACCATGCAGTAATACAACAGTTCTTCCTTGACATTTTGCCAGCATTGACCCAGTGCCCTGTCTCTCTGACATTCACACCTCTTACTCTTGCTGAATGGAATGCAGATGCTTTTGTTTGCAACTTACCATATGGGCAGAGACTCGTAGTAAGGCCACAGCTCTCTGACTTTTCTTTCTGAAGTTCTGTTGGGAAGACTTCCCTCAAATGGTGCAATGGGTGAAAATGTGTTGAAAGGTGTCTCTTTAGAAGGAAGCCTCAATATATAAAAAAATTCAAAAGGTAGGAACATCTGGCTGTGTTTTGAGAGGATACAGAAATCCGACTGATATATTTATTTATATCGTTATGTCTTTTGCACTTCTCCATACCTTGCTTCAGGCACTACTTACCATTCATTAAACGACATGTGGCTTTCAAAGGCGTGCACACACATACCTGGACCTTTAAACAAGATCAAAAGACTGCGGTTTATATTATTTAGCACTTATGTTATAAGAATATCTAAAAGGACATCTGAAAAACACCTGATTTTGAATAGGTTATTGAATGTTACATAAAACATCACCCTCCCTATAGCGACATTAGATCAAGTTTGGTCATGTTGAAACACTAACCACTGCACAAAATAAAAACACTGATAGTAAAGTGTTAAATTTGGTCCTCTGCCAGGAGGAACTACAACTGTACTTTGTAAGATATTATTTAATACTTAGCCATCACATTAAGTTAGCCTTATTTTGCCTTAAAGACAAAAAAACTTCACAATAGCTGCAAATATGTTCCTATAAAATAACTTAAAGGGGTCATATGATGCTACATGCACTTTTACAAGTTGTTTGAACTGAAATGTGTGTTGGCAGTGTGTGTACACAACCACCCTAAAATTATAAAAATCTACCCAGAGGCATTTTGTTAATCTACTAAAATCTTTATCCCTTTCTCAAATCGAGCCGATCTCAGATGCCAGACAGGCCCCTCCCACGATAGTTTCAGCACAGACTGGACTGGTGTCTTACCTTAGACCCACCCTGAGTGAGCTGTCATCAGTCCGCCATTGTTTCACCGCCGGAGCAGACGTAGACAAGAATGACTCCTAAGCGATTGAGGTGTTCTGTTGTTGGATGTAATAATGAACATAGCAGTTGTCGTTTACTCCCAACATCTGAGCCGCTGAAGACACAGTGGATTATGTTTGTTTTTTGAAGGGAATGCGCCCCTGATCTACATAAATGTGTATATGTTCGCGCAAACCATTTGTGATCCAGCTTCAACAAATCTTTGCAAATCGCCTTTTCTAATAATGTGCTAATTAGCAAGTTTCACGATGAATGCAGCTAACGTAAACAGTCTCTCTGAGAGCAGCTCGGACGAGAGGGACGGGGTCAGCAGAGCTCATTAACTTTTAAAGGAAAATGCTACAAATCTACATGCTCTGAAAAGAGCTGTTTTTGACAAGGTAAAAAAGGTGTTTTTACACTACCATGGAGAAATTTTAACCAAACTATGTTACAGACTTTTCACTAAGACCCTAAAGAATCATATCAACTTGTGGAAAATGGGGATCCTATGACCCCTTTAAGAACTTAATAATCTTACTTCTGTCATTAAACCTGAGAACTGACATCTTATGTTATTTTTGTCAGCTATATCAATGGTGTCCTGTATTTTAAACCTCTTTCTTCAGGGCAAGAGGAAGCAGAGTAGTACTACGTTGTTGGGACCAAACAGCCCTTAAAGGAGGTGACAAAACAAACGTCCTCAGAGAAAACTTCAAGAGCCAGTTACATGAGCACTTCAGGGCCTGCAGCTGAAGTTTACCCGGACACTGCTTCTTTCAGGGGGCTCACATAAACATTACACTCTCTGTCTGGGTAATTGATCCCAAATCTTGTTTGACAACGTTTTTTCACTGCCGACACTTCACATGCTTCCTGAACATAGCTGAGCTTTTTTGGCCGCGTTGCAAATACCACAACAACTCAGCACTCATTAAATCTTGTGCTGAGTGTTCTCTGCCTTACCGCTGCCAGTGTGTGTGGTTTGGTTCATTTTTCGCACTAGTTCTGTTTGCTGTCTCCCTTCTCCCTTGCATTTAATATATATGAATGTATGTATATTGCCTGCATATTTTGGTAAAGGATTTCCGATTAAGCAGCCAGATTTGCATTTACTGAGTGTTCAATGCACTGAAAAAAATGGTGTAGAAACAATTTCCCTCTGAAATTGCAAGTAAATTTCACTAATAATTACAGCAAGTAACACATTGAATTAAATGTGAAATTCTGAAGTGTGCAATGACTGAAATACTTTCTTTTAAAAAGTACTCCCATAATCTATATAAAAAAATAAACATTTTTTATTTAATTATTTACAAAACATTTTTAGGTTTGTATTTAGCATAGATTAATTATATTTTTCTTAGTATTATCTCAAAATATATATATTTTTTATAAATAGTATTATTTGTTTGTGTATGTAAATAACTTGTTATACTGTGTATACTGTGAATACTGATCAGTGTTAAATGATTCTTTTTTTAATTATCTACATTATTTGCATGATCTGGATCAGGTGAGTTACAAGATGTCAATGACATTATTCTTGCAAACCGTTTCTGTTTGTTTGTTTGTTTTTTAAGTCTTATCTAGTACTGTGAAAGTAGCATTTGCAATTCAGCCATTTTGTTTAAGATGTGCCATTGCACACACACATTATTTACTCCAAAATTCAAATAATTAACCTGTAAGACTCCATTTTGGTAAAGGGTTAAATAAAGATATTTGTACCTAAATAGGTTACTCCCACAGACTTTCATCAAGACGTTAGGCTAAATACAATTTTCCCAAACATTTGTTTTAACCACCTTGCATATAAAGGTACTTCTCATAATATATTCTGAAGCATGTAAGGTACAAGCACGAATGCAAACTTAAAACCTTTACCCACGTCTCAGTAGTCCACATTAGAAAACAAGCTGCTTTCAATTACAGACAGCAAGTACACACTCTGAATCTCTCGCTCCCTCCTTCTGTCTTTCTCATCTCTTTTCTTCTGCTTTGGCTCTTTGATTACTTTTGAAAACATTTATATTCCCTAATAACCTGGGTTTAGTCTAGTGGCCAGTGATTAAATCCAGACTCGTATAGTAAATGCAGAAGAGTATATGTGGAAAATAATATCTATCTAGAGTTGTTCATAACAGCTAAAGAAATGGAAACTTGAATGGCAATTTTTGCAATAAAAATGTCAGTTACAGCTCCACATTAAATGAAGATTTAGAGCTGTACTACAACATTTAGTTATTTTCAAATTCACTTTTTCACAAAAGTTTTATATTTAAAATGGGAATGCTGTATACTTCATCAGAAAGGCATGAGAACAAATCCCTCGTAGCTGAATACATGCTTTTTACATAATTGCCCAGTAAAATAACTATGATGATTAATGATTGATAGATAGATAGACAGATAGATGACAGACAGACAGACAGACAGACAGACAGACAGATAGATAGATAGATAGATAGATGACAGACATATAGAAAGACAGACAGACAAAAAGATCTGAAGCATGTAAGGTACAAGCACGAATGCAAACTTAAAACCTTTACCCACGTCTCAGTAGTCCACATTAGAAAACAAGCTGCTTTCAATTACAGACAGCAAGTACACACTCTGAATCTCTCGCTCCCTCCTTCTGTCTTTCTCATCTCTTTTCTTCTGCTTTGGCTCTTTGATTACTTTTGAAAACATTTATATTCCCTAATAACCTGGGTTTAGTCTAGTGGCCAGTGATTAAATCCAGACTCGTATAGTAAATGCAGAAGAGTATATGTGGAAAATAATATCTATCTAGAGTTGTTCATAACAGCTAAAGAAATGGAAACTTGAATGGCAATTTTTGCAATAAAAATGTCAGTTACAGCTCCACATTAAATGAAGATTTTAGAGCTGTACTACAACATTTAGTTATTTTCAAATTCACTTTTTCACAAAAGTTTTATATTTAAAATGGGAATGCTGTATACTTCATCAGAAAGGCATGAGAACAAATCCCTCGTAGCTGAATACATGCTTTTTACATAATTGCCCAGTAAAATAACTATGATGATTAATGATTGATAGATAGATAGATAGATAGATGACAGACAGACAGACAGACAGACAGACAGACAGACAGATAGATAGACAGATAGATAGATAGATAGATAGATAGATAGATAGATAGATAGATAGATAGATAGATAGATAGATAGATAGATAGATAGATAGATAGATAGATAGATAGATAGATAGATAGATGACAGACAGACAGATAGATGACAGACAGACAGACAGACAGACAGACAGACAGACAGATAGATAGATAGATAGATAGATAGATAGATAGATATTTAATAATAACAAACAACATGCATACAGATCCCATGTTTATTTACTTGTGCTTTTGGCAGAAATTATTGTACAGTTGATAAAAAAAAACATTTCTATTGTCGTCAAGAAAAGATTTTCTTGTCTTGAAATACAGTGCTATGTCTTCTTCAGTTGCATTATTTAATCATACATCATAACAGTATATGCAGAATTACAATACGTACATGGCTGATTTCAAGCAGTTCGTTGTCAGTTGAGCCAATGATCCTTTTGCCTATAAAAGAATCTATTACAGGTTAGTTGCTCCAGTGGTTCAAAAGCATACATTAAGGCCTACCTTCCCTGCTTTGTCACAAGTTCCTCCTCCCATCATGCATTTGGTGTTGAAGTCAACGTCACCACTCAGCATTCTTCGGTTCCCACAGTGGCCGTGTCCTCTGCCCTCGTCACAGTCCTGCAGAGGTCTGAGACAATGCACAGCTAGTCTGCCAGAATGTCGTATTCTACCTTTAGTTTCGGACAGCTGATCACAGTTTAAGTTGTCAATAGCAACAAAATTCTTACTTATTATTTTTCCTGTATTACAGTAAAACACTTATAGGTCACTTTTATTCTTAGACCTATATTGTCTATTATATTTGTTTTTATTAAGGGTATGTGAAGGGATGATAAGTGTAACAAAGGAACTATTTTGACTATATGTGAAAATAAATAAACAATACTAATAACATGCATGCAAGTCCATATTATTTGCATCATGCTTTTTTGTTATACACAAGGATTTTGACTTGATGTGAAGTGGAAAATGGAAGTTTGCCATTCAGTCTAAGAAGAGATTATTTAAACAAATTAAGCTTTTGCTGTTTAAATTGACACTGTAACCCATCATTGGAGAACCGAACTCTGTGATCTATCATGATTCTGCTGGCTTCTTAGATTGGCCCTTAGGGCAAACAGAAATAGACAGGGAGAGGGTAACCTGCACCAATTGAATGAATCAATCACACAGAGACTTGTACACACACTTGCATCAAATTTTTGATAAGAATTTAATTGCCAATTAAATCATTGTTTGCATTTTTAATACAAATTGTTGATTTAATTTGTTTATTTATTTTTGAATTTGTATTTATTTTTTTATTTGTACAATTTAACCATGATATTAATGTTTTGGGGTTTCTTTTTTTTTAATTGCCATTATGTATTACAGCATCCCCTCCGAACCTGTGAGCCTTCCATTAATGCCTTAATCTTGATATAGTCCTAGTTTGTAAACAAAGACCCTATATACATAGTAAGAACCAACAAAAATACGAACTAAATATTTGCTAATGTCACATTGTCATACATGCATACAACCCAACCCAACTGCAGAATACAAATAGAAATAATCACTTCAAAATCTTCATTCATAATCGTATGCTGCCTGTTCTAAACTGACTGCATATGGCAAACAATTTGCATAATCCCTTATCACATACTGCAGGTGAATCATATCAGATTAATGACAGAAGTAGTTTTAAATTATTTTTTGCACCAAAAGTGTATTTAGTTGACTTTTACCAGTTCAGTATGATGCTTTACATTATACCTCCTTTATATTTCTGCTATATCTTTGATTCTATAGTACAGTTAATTCTACTACAGCAATTTGTGTAACAGGTCATGAGTATCCCTTCAGTCTCACTGCAGTCTGGTATTATTGCTACACTATAATAAATATGAAAAGGACATTGAAAGACTTCCCACACAGTTACATTTTGAAGTCTAAGCTATATGGGTGCTACTTTCATAAGATCTTTTTTCATGGACTGTGGCAACAATTGGTCCATATTCTTATCTTAAAGTGTGAAATACATAGCGAGAACTTCTTGTCCTGTGAAGAACCAGTAAGTCTTCTGAATTCCCAAGGCAATGGTGTTGTTTTAAGACTGAAGGTAATGCTGAACAAATTACACCATATTTGGGCACAGAGCCAGGCTTCTGTAGAGAATAAAACCATAATCCTATTCAATTTGCCCGTAACCGATATGAGATTTTCTTCAATGAGTTGGAAGAATATGTCAAGGGGAGTTTTTTTTAGATCCATTTAAATGACAAACAATAAAAACGGCAGGATTGCGTGAGAAAATACTTCAGAAGTTTTCGGTGTTATGTTGGATTAATGTATTGAGAATAATCAGATTTTAAACATGCTGAAGTGTCTTTCTTCCATTTTAGTAGTACAATTACATGTACAGGTGGAACTGAGCAATAAACTATAGTGCCAGCAGGCGTAATCTGTATTTGCTTAAGTGAAAGTTCAGACAACATCCACATATTAGAAATATATGTCGTTTATGAAAACATTTCATGCTATCTGTCATGTACATTTTAGACTGCCAGCAAGTTGATAGGTTAGTTTTTTTCTATTACTGACTTTGTGAGGCTGGTTAAATAAGCTTTAAATTGATGTTGCTTATACTTAATTAGTTTATATAATTTTCAATGCATTACAAATATTGTTGTTTATACTCATATTTAAGATACTAATAGGCTATTAAAAAATATCATTACGAATTTCAAAGCAAGAAATGCAGATATGTGCACACATATTATGTTTACAAGTGTAATCAGTCTGAAAATGCATCGATAATGCTTCCTTTACATCTAAATAAATAAATAAAAACGGCTAATTT